AGGATGGACTTTTTGCTTCAGCCTGAATAAAATCCAGTCAACCTCTGAATGCTTAACTATATCAATAATTTATTCCTGAAATCCCCTGCCTTTGTTCAAGGATAATTCCTAAAATTCATCATTGCAGATATGGCGAGAACTTTTTTCACCGTTACATGCACTGAATTTTGGGATTGGTGGAGACACTACAGGACATGTTTTGTGGAGACTGAAGAACGGTGAACTAGAAAATATTAAGCCCAAGGTAGGGTGCCTGTAGCAAGAAAGAACAAGAAACCTCCTGTAATATTCTCTTCATCCTCTCTCCTCCCTCTCACCCCGCAACTCACACACAGACTGCCCTTTGCTAGGTTTTGTAATACCCAAAGCATTTCTGTGTTATTTTAATTCAGAACTATTACATTCACAGTCTGATTGATATCTGTGACTGGCAAGGGAGCGGAAAGCTGCTGACTGCCATGTCCTCTGGGCACTGAAATGTGCGCAGCATGCGATGTTTCCTTTTCCTCTGCAGCCGGGTAATGCAGAGGAAATTTTGTCTCTGATCCTTCAATCACAGGTCGTTGTTGTTTGGGTTGGAACAAATAACCATGAAAACACAGCAGAGGAAGTAGCTGGTGGAATAGAAGCCATTGTGAGACTGATCAACACCCGGCAGCCTCAGGCTAAGATTATTGTTTTGGTAAGTAAGAGTAGCATCTTTGGTGCATTTGTATGTTCTTGTTTCTTTTTTAATCAGGTGGAAGGGAAGCATCATAAGAAGAACTGGGGTAGGCTGCTGGTTTTTGTTACAGAAAATCCTTTGGAGAAGCATTACCTTGGCTGAGGAAGGGAACTGGAAGCCTCAGACAATAACTAATCATTGTTTATGACAGCTTAATTTTTGTAAGCATCTGGATAATTTCACAAAGGCAACTCTGAGATGGTCCTGAAAAAGCTTTACGTAAGAGCGACATGATAGTATAATTCTTCATATACTGATTTTGGAAAGACTGAAAATGTACCTGTGGGAGTTTGGGAGACTAGTTTAGTTTAGTTTATTGTCATTGCACCTCGTACAACGAAATCAAACACCATCTTCAGTGCGCATCATGACCATGAAAATAAACACAAACACGCATCCTTCATACTCCACACATTGAACCAAAAACCCGCAATACCACACCAACACTGGTGATACAGTACAATACAGTAGAATTTAAAAGAGCTCCTGCCCTGGGATAGAAGCTGTTTTTCAGCCTATTTGTCCTTGTTTTTATTATTGTCCTGTATTGTCTGCCAGATGGTAATAGTTCAAAACAAGGCCGCCCAGGATGAGGTGGATCTTTGAGAATGTTTTGAACTTTCTTAAGGCAGCAGGAGCTATAAAGCTCTTCCAAATAGGGGAGAGGGCAACCAATGGTCCTCTGGGCAATGGTGTTGACCCTCTGGAGCGCTGTCCTATCTGCCACTGTGCAATTGGCAAACCATACAGAGGTGCAGTCAGTTAAGATACTCTCTATGGTGCAGCGGTGGAAGGTCACCAGCAGTTTTTCATCCAATTGTTGTCTTCTGAGAAGTCTCAGATAATATAACCTCTGCTGGGCCCTTTTGACCAGACCCCCCAGGTCAGGTCCTCTTTTAGGGTAACACCCAGAAACTTAAAACTGGCCACTTGCTCCACTCGGTCTCCATTTGATAAGCAAGGGCTGGATGTCTGATCTGTTCCTTCTATAGTCCACTATAAGCTCCTCATTGGTGTTGAGGACCAAGTTACTGTCTCCACACCACGAAAGCAACCGGGCCACCTCATCTCGGTAGGCAGACTTATCTCCCCCCCCCCCCCCCCTCCCCCGGAGATGAGTCCCACCACTATTGTATCATCTGCAAGTTTAGTAATAGTATTACTAGCATGAGTGGGAGTGCAGTCTTGCACATAAAGAGTATAGAGTAAGGGACTCAACACGCAACTCTGTGGTGTACCAGTGTTAAGAATAAGGGCTGAAGAGGTATGTACCTAATCTGACCCTCTGAGCGGCCAGACAGGAAATCCATAATCCAAAGGCAGACTGAATAAGAAAGCCCAAGGTCCAGAAGTTTAGACACTAGTCAATGTGGGAGAATTGTGTTAAATGCAGAACTAAAATCTAGGACCAGAAGACAACAGGTGCTTCTGAAAGACAAGAAAGGACCAAGGTCTCAGCTTGCCAGAGAGGCCGTGTGTGTCCATGTCCAGACAGCGGACAGAGTGAGGCTAGGCCCGGGGTTGGGGCTGAGCTTTCCCCAAGCATGGGATAACCTGCTGTTTTCCCCTCCCTTGTTCAAGGGCCTGCTCCCTCGAGGCGAGAAGCCGAACCCTCTGCGGCAGAAGAACTCCAAGGTGAACCAGCTCTTGAAGACCTCCCTGCCAAAGCTGGCTGGAGTCCAGCTGCTGGATGTGGATGGAGGCTTCGTGCACTCGGATGGCACCATTTCATGCCACGACATGTTCGATTTCCTGCACCTAACGGGTGCCGGCTACACAAGGATCTGCAAACCCCTCCATGAACTCATCATGCAGCTGCTGGAGGAAACCCCAGAAGAGAAACAGGCAACTCTGGCCTGACAGCCCCCCCCCCCCCCCACCCACCGCCCCGTCCCACCCCATCCCAGCGCCATCAGCCCGGTTCTCTTTTCCATGGCACCACGGAATCCTCGCTCGAGGTGCTTTCCATTGTTGAATGTTACTGGGTGTTGTGTTTAGCACTGGAAAGGGGGGCGGAGGGTGGCTGGCCAAAGATGTCCCAGGGCCTCTTTCTTCACTTGGCCTTTCTAAGGGGAACAAGGTCTCTCCCCTGAGCCATTTCTCGCTCATGGCGTGGCGAGCATGGTGGTCAGCGACCTGCGGGCTCGCCTTCCCATTCCTGCCTCCTCCGTGTCCAGCCTGTCCATAGTGCTGAAAGGCCTAAACTCATTGGTCGCATTCACATTCCACTCCCTGGACTGAACAGTAGCTGCTTCCTGAAAAGTTGGAATTGTTTGAAGAGTTTTTATATTTACTGGATTTGGGTTTTTGTTTTAAGTGATATTAGCTGCTTTCTTGCTTTGGCAAACTGGCAAACCAGAACAGGAAACAGCTACCTGTGACAATTGGATACATGTGAACAATTATGTGTTGAGTGAGTGAACACAGTTAACTTGGCTATTTCATTTCTTTTGTTAAAAAGGATGCGATTCCCTTACTGGGAACAGAATGGGAGGTGGTCGGCATCAGAAAAACTTGCCTCTGAGGTGTGTTGGTGCAACACTCTCAACTTGTCCAGGGCCTTGCAGTCTGTCCCATCATTCCCACCCAGGTTAAACCGATGCTGCTGCTGCTGCTGCTTCTCGCTAGGTTGCTGCAGAACGCTCCCTTTTAAGAGCAAAACGCAAGGGCAGCCCCCCCCCCCCCACCCCCCCTTCTCCCACCTTGCAGGGCCTGAGCCTCGCAGTCCAGGGCCTCCCTCTCTGTTTTTGGGTCAGGCTTGCACAAGTATTTGACTCATGCAAGTGAGGCAGGCCCAGGATATTGCAGGTCGGCCAGAATACAGGCCCCTCCGTGAAGCGGAGCCTCTTTCTCTGGGCCTGGTGCAATGAGGTGGTTTCTGAAGCATAAATGCCTCAGCTTGTACTTGGGAGAGATTTTTCTGGGAAGAACTTTCAGTCTTAGATAGTCCGTGAGATTGTGGGAGAAAGATTTTATCCATAAACAGGCAGGGAAGAGGAAAGATACTTCACCCCTCTTTCCCCGAGCAAGTGATGGGCAAGGATCTGCTGCCCCAGTTCCCCAAGCGTGGTTTGATCCCTGAGAATGCAGAGTGTGACCACCCAGATAATTTCCCTCCTCCCCCCCCCCTTCCCCATAGGCCACCCCGGCTGTAGGTCACCCTTTTCCCCAGTTGGCTTTAGGCTTGTTCCGAGAAGGCTTCTTGGTTCAGGGATGAGCTCTTGACCGTGCATGTCTCCCAGCCGGCCATCTTTTCCCTTGCATCTCCCAGCACAAGCTTCCGCTTGACAAAAGCACAAGGCTTTGCTCTGTCAAAGAATTCCCAGAGTGAACCTGCTTCTCCTGAAGTGCTCTGGGTTGGCACCTTGGGGTTGAGTGGGCAGGGCCCGTCTTCCTGCAGAGATGCGCCCAGCCTGAGGCTTGCACTTTGCTTGGTCAATTGGGAGCCATTTCCCAGCTGTGGCTTCTCTTGCACCCAGGCCTTTGCCAGCTGCCTGTGGCCAGCAACACTAAGAAAGCCCCCTGGGATTGGCAGCCTCACCAGAGTCCCCTGGAGGTCCCTGCAGCCTCCTTGGAGCCAGCAATACCTATCCTGCTGCTTCCTGACACCCCACGGAGGTCCTGCCCCTCACGTTCCTTGAGGATTCAGGTTGGCTCATCTGCTGCCGCCCCGGAGCACCACTTGCTTATATAACCAGCCTCCTCCTCCTCTTGGGCTTTTCCTTGGAGTCCCCCTCATCTTGTTCCTGTTTGCCAGTGTGTATTGCACCCCGAATCTTGTCTGTCCTGTAATGTGCAAGCATGGCCTGCTCCCTATTTATTGCAGCAGGTGGGGGGAGTGTAGATGAAGGCAGGGTCGCCGTGGCCTTATGTAACCTGCAGGTGGGAAGGGGCTGGCGGAGGGGGGAGGCCTGCCTTTCCTTTGGGGGGCAGCAGTCGCTCAGGCCCCCCCCGCCCCCATCAGTGGCTTCCGAGCGCCCCGGGGATGAATCTGCTCTGGCTAAGCGGCCGGGATGACCGGCAGAGCTCGTTGGTTCAGTGCGTGTTTCCATATAAAGATCCATGTTCCATCCACGGCCTTGTCAGCGTCTCTTTGGGGGGGGGGACGGGGGTCTTTTCGCGGCGGCCCATCCGCCGGCCTCCCGAGCGCGCCGCTCCGTCTGGCTGGGGCGGGCAGGTCGGCCGCCCCACCTCCGCCGGCGCCGCGGCCCGCCCTCGCCCGCCTCCCCTTTAAAGGACGCGGCCTCGGCGGCGCCGCCCAGACGAGCGGAGCGCCAGTCCCCGCGGCTGTCGCCCCCGCCGCCCGCCGGCCATGCTGAGGGCGCCGCTGCTGCTGCTGCTGCCGTTGCTGCTGCCCCCCCTGGCCGGGGCCGCGGCCGGGCCGGCCGAGAAGCGCGTGGTGCAGAAGGAGGCGGCCTTCGAGCAGCTCTACGGCGACGCCGTGAACGAGCAGCTGCTCAACATCTACGCCTTCAACCACAGCGTCTCGCGGAACCGGGTGAGGAGCCGCCGCCGCCGCCGCCGCCGCCCGTCCAGTCCGGCGCCCCCTCTGCCCGGCCCCGGCGCTCAATCCGGGCCTCGCGTGGCCGCCTCCGCCCGGGCCCGCCCGACGCGCTGGCACCTCGGGCGGCAGGAAGCGGCGGCGGCGGTGGCGACGCCTCCCGAAGAGGGAGCCCGGCCCCGGGAGCGGGAGTCGCCCGCGAGGCGAGGCCCCTTTCGCTCTCTCCGGCCGGCCGCTCCGACCTTTGCCCCGCGCCTGCCAGCTGGCCCCGGGAGCGGTGCTCGGCTGCGCCTGCCTGGCGGGCTCCGCGGCCGGGGGTCCCTTGGCCGGGGAGGCTGGGCCTGAGTCCCTCTCGTCGCCCCGCAGACGGAGGGCGTCCGGGTGTCGGTGAACGTGCTGTCCGAGCAGAAGGAGAGGCCGGTGCTCTTCGTGGTGCGGCAGAAGGAGGCGGTGGTCTCCTTCCAAGTGCCCTTAATCCTCCGCGGCCTGTGAGTATCCTGCCCTCCCCGACCTGCCGGGGCTCCTCCGACGGGACGGGCCCTCCAGCTGCCCCTCAGGAAAGGAGGGAAGGCGGCTGCTTTGCGGGAGCCCTCAGCGCTCGGTGGCCCCTCCTGGGAAGCCCCCCCCCCCCATGCCCACCTCCCCGCCCGCAGGTTCCAGAGGAAGTACCGGTACCAAGATGTCAGCCGCACTCTGTGCCAGCCGCCGACCAAGAGCGAGGTGGAGACCCAGTTTTTCTTCGTGGACGTCTCCACCCTCTCAGCCACCAACGCCTCTTACCAGCTGCGCGTCTCCCGCGTGGAGAATTTTGTCCTCAGGTGAGCCGGGCTGACGGTGCCCCAGAAGCCCTGCATGCAAAACGCCCAGCCAGCCAGCCAGGGAGCAGCAGCAGCTGCTGGGGTCTCTGAGCCGAGGGGCAGGCGGTCAGTGGGGCCCCTCTTTGGCAGCCCTGCCCGCCCCAACCGCTGCCCCTGCTGGTCTTTCTTCCTGCAGGACAGGTGAGCCCTTCACTTTCAACGCCACAGCAGCCCAGCCACAGGTAGGTTGCCCAGTGGGCAGGGGGGTTGACTGGATGGGAAGAAGACCCCCCCCCCCCCGCCGCCCCCACCCAAGCCTTGGGCACCTCTGAGTTTTGGGCCTGGCTGTCAAACGGCTGGAGGTTGTGTCCGTCTCACCCCAGCGCTTGGACAGGCCTTTCCGTGGTCTTCAGGTCAGGGGTCAGGCAGGACCTGAGGGCGCCTCCCCCCCCCCCCCCCCCCCCCCCCCCCCCGCCTGCCCAGTTGCAGCCCCTTTGCTGGGATTCTGCTGCTGCCCCGCAGCACCCGCTGGGGGTTCCCAGGCGAGAGGAGGCCGCTTGGCTTCCCTGATGAGGTGCCCAAAGAAGCTTCCCAGCCTCAAGAAGGGCCCCCAGGGAGCCGCCACAGCTGGCAGGCGGAGAAGACCCAGCAAGGAAGGGGTCACCAGCCAAGGTCCTGGTTCTCCTCTCTTTCCTTGACCCACAGTACTTCAAGTACGAGTTCCCGGAGGGGGTGGACTCCGCCATCATTAAAGTGACATCATCCACAGCCTTTCCTTGTTCGGTCATTTCCGTCCAGGACATTCTGGTCAGTGAGGTGGGGGGGGGGGTTGCTTATAGGACACAGGAGGCTCCAGGCCTCCTTTGGCCCAAGAAGCTGATTGCCCCTTGCTTGCTTGCTCTCCTGCTGCCCAGTGTCCTGTCTACGACCTGGACAACAACGTGGCTTTCATTGGCACATACCAGACCATGACCAAGAAGGCAGCCATCACAGTGCAGGTACAACTGATTGGCTGGGACCTTTGCCAGTCGGACCTGGGGGTCAGCCCTCCTGTTACCTGGGATATCACGGGCATCAGTTAGCCGGCATTGGTGCTGGTATCGGTTGGCCTGAGCGGCCCATCTTGCCTTGGCTTCTGAAGGAGCCACCTGGAACCACAAATTCAGGTCTCGGGGGGGTCCGTCTGGGTGTCGAGTGTAACACAAGGGCTAGGTAGTAGAAACCAGGGCATCTGGGGGGCAAACAAGGAGCCTCCAGCTGCCCCCTTGGGGGGTCTGAAGATCAGCCATATTTCTGATCTTCAGTCAGAGATTTTCTCCATTCCTTGGTTCTTCGCAGAAGAAGGATTTCCCCAGCCACAGTTTCTACGTGGTCGTGGTAGTGAAGACCGAAGACGAAGCTTGTGGGGGGCCTTTACACTACTACCCTTTTTCCAAAGGTAGGGGGGGGGGGAGCTGGACTGAGGTCTGTTTATGGGTTCAGCTCCATCAGGGAGGCCTCGTCAGCTAACTGGCAGGAGGGGCCAGGAAGGCCTCCAGGCACGATGGCCCCTGGCCCTTGAGGGACCTGGGAAGCCAGCCCATGGGGGGGGGGGGGGGAGGCTGTGTTCCAGAGCTGCTTCCGATCGGAATAAGGGGGGTGAGACCAGGGAGCCTTGGAGGGGCAGGAGGGCAGTCCAGCCTGCTGTAACCTCTGGCCAGACTGGAAAGTGTTTTTGAGAGGCCCCGGAAGTCCAGAGTCGTTCTGCCTCCTGGCCTCCACTTTTACAGCTAGCCCAGCATCCCATCTCTGGGGCAAGAAGGTGGCTTGCCTGAGCTCCCCTGAGCTCAGGGCTTGAGGGCCTCCAGGGAGCCCCTGGGGATTAGCAAGGAAGGGGGCTGGTTGAAGGGAAGGGGGGCCCCCGGGACCAGGCCGCGATCCAGGCTCTGCACCGTCGCCAGCGAAGGGGACCTGCGGCTGGGATCTTCTCCAGGCGAGTTGATCCGGGCCTTTGTGCCTTCCAGATGAGCCTGTAGACCAAGGCAACCGTCAGAAAACCTTGGACGTCGTGGTGACCCCTGCTGTCAGTTGTAAGCAAGCCCCTCGGCCGCACATTCCCCCGGTGGAGAAGGAAGGGGAGCAGCTGCCTGCCTGACTCCTCCTGACTTGGAGCTGGCTCCCCGGTACACCCGAGGGGCAGGCAGCCCAGGGCCTGGCGGGCGGGGCTGAGTCTCCAGGAACCTTGGAGTGGTGGGCAGCGGCTGAGAGCGGCCAAGAGGCTGGGAGGGGAGGGGAGGGGAGGAGGAGGCTTCCTAGCCCCAGGCCTGCCAGCTGCACCAGGCTGTCTCTCTGGCTCCTCTGCAGCTGAGGCCTACGTGGACGGGATTCTCTTCTGCCTGGGCGTCTTCTTGTCCTTCTACATCCTGACGGTGCTCATCGCCTGCTGGGAGAACTGGCGGTGAGTCTGCCCATCGGGGCTCCTGCCCCCGCTTGCTGTCGTGGGCCCCGTTTTCCTTGGCCGCGGAGGCTTGGTCACGGCCGAGGAGGTGGCTCTGCCCTGCCTTGGTGGCAGGGCTGACTGGGAAGGCAGGGCAAGAGAGCCTTCAGGGCGGCAGCGTTCATGCCCCCCAAGGCCCGCTTCTTCCCGGGAGGAGGGGGACGCGGGCCCACAGAGGGGGCCTTCCAGGGAAGGCAGCCGCACGTCCTTTCAGGGGGGGTCCCTTGTTCAACAGGCGTCAGAAGCGGAGGCAGCGGCAGCTCCAGTTCCTGAGTGCTGTGGACACACCCTGTTCCGATGGGGGCGTACGAGGTAGGCGGGGGGGGGGAGTCCTGCGGCCAGGAGGGGGCCTGTCCCCCTGTCCGTCTTCTGCTCGGGGTGGCAGCCGCAGGCCTTCTGCTGAGTCCCGGTGGGGAGTGGCGAGGGTGCCTGCTGAAGTCCAGTTGGGGTCTGACTCTTGCAGGGACCAGCCCCTCAGTTGCTGGAGCTCCAGTGCTGAATCAGCCTCACGGGCAGCTCCACAATTCATGGTGGGTTTGCACCACATGCAGAAAATGCGGTCCGGGGGCTGCAAGGACCCAGTTGCTGGTTGTGCATGTGACCGGACGACACGCTTAGATTTGGATAGTCTTGGGCTGGGAACTGGCATGCAGAGACTGGAGGGCTTAGAGCCACGTCTCAGAATGGTGGCTTCCGTCTCTCTCGCATTAGGGAGCTGCTTTAGGTTATAAACAATTTCTTCCTTCCTTCCTTCTTTCCCTCCATCCATCTTTCCCTCCTTCCTTCCTTTCTTCCTTCTTTCCTTCCTTCCTTTCTTCCTTCTTTCCCTCCTTCCTTCCCTTCTTTCTTCCTTCTTTCCCTCCTTCCTTCCTTCCTTTCTTCCTTCTTTCCTTCCTTCCTTCCATCCATCCATCTTTCCCTCCTTCCTTCCTTCCATCCATCCATCTTTCCCTCCTTCCTTTCTTCCTTCCTTCCTTCCTTCCTTCCTTCCTTCCTTCCTTCCTTCCTTCCTTCCTTCCTTCCTTCCGGAATGCTGCTCCACACCAAGCTTCCCTCCTTGGTAAGCACTCAGCCCCGCCCCATTCTGCTCCTCTGGCTTCCTGTGCGGGGGGAGAAGCCCCTTCCACTCGGGCAGGCCCTGAGATCCGATGCAGAGCCCCCCCTCCCCCACCCGAGCTGCCCTTCTTGGAGCTCCCCTCCGGATGGGCTGGCCGGTCCAAGGGCAGCCAGGCCCGGGTTCCATGATGGGGCTCCCCGTTTTCAAGCCGGGTGGTGGCTCTTTCGTTGCAGGGAATCCCCCGGAGCCCCTGGACCCCTTCCAGGGACACCCTCCTCTTGGCAGTCAGTGTTATGGGTCCTTCGGTGAGTCCCAGCCCCCCAGCCGGACAGAGGAGGGGGGGTCCTGTCTGTTGGGGTGGGGGCCCTTTCCTCTGCTGCCGCCTGGGCCCGGCAGGTGGCTCTTCCCCCTACCTGGCTGGCAACTCACCTGGGGGCCCCCCGCTCCCCCCCAGCAGACACCGGGTCGGCTGCCAGCAGCGAGAATGTCACGGACAGCCTGCTTTCCACGGAGGCCTCCTCCACTTACGCTGGTGAGGCGCGTAGCTGGCATGCTGGCCCTCGGGGTGCTTCCTCTCGCCCGGCTGCCTCCTGCATGTGTGTGGGGCCCCCTCCAAAGGGATGATGGGCCTGGCTGGGCGGTTTGGCCCCTTTGCGTAACTCTTTCCTTTCTCCTCAAGGGCAAGATGTGTGCCAGCAGCGGCAGAGACACTGGGCAGCCTTTGCAATGGGTAGAGAGACTGGCCTCCCTGTCCGCCTGGCCTCCCCTTCCTGGGCCCCTTGTCTGGCCTGGTGGCTCCCCTTGGCCAGCGGTGGGCCAGGTCTCCCTAGCCGGGGCTCTGCGGAGAAGAAATAGTCCCTTCAAAGTATTTCTCAGCTTGGCAATATGGGCCGTGACTGGAAAGAACAGGGGGCGACAACGGGCATCCCTTCTTCCCGTCAGTGGGGCAAGGCCTGTCCTCTGCACATGCTCTGCTCCAGGCTCTTTCCTCAAGGGTCTCAGGGGGGGCGGGGGGCTTCTGCCCTCCAGGGAAGAGGGAACAGCTGCAGAACAGCTTTGGAAGCCCAGGGCATCCGCCAAGTACCTTTCCCTCAGGACCTGGTATAGGCAGACCTGGCCCAGGGGCTGCTTGGCTGGCAAGGGCACCGGCGGTGGGAGGCCAGCCCCCCCCTTTCCCTCAATGAATGGGGGCTTCCTGAGGGGCTGCCCCTGTGGCCAGGGAGGGAGCCCCATCTTCCCGTCCTGGATCTCCAGCCTCTGAGCCGCCTGCACTTGAGGAAATGCAGCCCCTCAGAAAGCTTGGGGGGTGGGGGTGGGCAGTTTGCACGATGGTTCCCCTCCCCACGCGGGGGGGGGGGGGGGCGCAGGGCTCCCCACCAGCGGGGGGGGGGGCGTGGGGGGGGGGGGGGGGGGGGGGCTGCTGTTGGGCCCTGTCTCTCCTCGGGCCTCCTGCCCACTCCAGCGCCCAGACAGGCCGACTGCCAGCAGGCTCCAGTCAGTCCCATCGGTAATTGGGTGGCACAGGCTGACTGGCCCCTTCGGAGCCCCCAACCTTCGCCGTAATGCTGGTTTCCGTCTTCGGCAGACCGTTCCCTGGAGAACCTGGTGGGGCGTCCTCGGCTTGACTCGCTCAGCTCCGTGGAGGAGGATGATTACGACACGCTGGCCGACATTGAGTCGGACAAGAACGTCATCCGCACCAAGGTTGCCCAGGGGAGCTCTGGAGCTGCGGGCGGCTATTCCCCGGAGATTAGGAGGATGACCGAGACAGGGCGCTGCTCCCGCTGGCCAACACCGCCCCCCCACCCCCCTGGGGGGGCTGCAGCCGCAAAGCCCAGCAAAAAGCGCAGCTCCTGGGGGGGGGGCAAGAGAGCTGTGGGTCCCGAGGGGAGACCCTGCAGGGCCTGGGGGGGGGCGGCTTGCACGGCGCCTGGGCACGTCCTGCGTTAGCAGGCTGAGAAGGGCTCTGGACGCGCAGTGGGGCCTCGGGCCTCCCCAAAGGGCTGTGAAATTTGGGCCTGAGGGAAGAGCAGGTCGCGGGTGGTTTGAGTACCTGCAGGAGCCTCTTCCGGGTGGCGGCAGGGGAGGCGCCAGTTGGAGACGCTGCCGGGTTGGGGCTCCGCGGGGGAGGGCGAGGGGACTGGGTGCCTCCGCACGAGGCCGAAGCTCAGCCAGGGGATGCTGGTGTGTCTTGCAGAAGTTCCTCTGTGTGGCAGATCTGGCCCGCAAAGACAAGCGAGTATTGCGGAAGAAATACCAGATTTACTTTTGGTGAGGAAGTTGGGGGGGGGGCTGGCTGTGCGTCCCCCACAGAGGTCCCCCCCCCCCCCCCGCCGGGGCCGCCCCCCCCGGCCCCCCCCGGGCAGCGCCGGCCCCCCCTGGCTCCCGCCCCCCCCCCCCCGAGCCCCTGGCCAGAGCCTCCTTTGCCCCCTGCAGGTGGTGAACGTGACTGGGAACCAGGACATCTGCTACTACAACTTCCTCTGCGCCCACCCTCTGAGCAACCTCAGGTAGGAGCTGGGAGGGGGGGCCCTGCCCTGCCCCCCCCCCAGGGCCCCGGGCCCTGACGCCTCCCCTCCTGCCTCTCCAGCGCCTTCAACAACATCCTGAGCAACCTGGGCTACGTCCTCCTCGGCCTCCTCTTCCTGCTCATCATCCTGCAGCGCGAGATCAGCTACAACCGGGCCTTGATGCGCAACGACTTCCAGGCTGTGGTGAGCAGCGCCCCCACCCCACCCACGAGGGGGGAGGGGCTCCTTTCTCAGATGGGGGGGTGGGTCTCTTTGCAGGAGTGCGGCATCCCCAAACACTTCGGCCTCTTCTACGCCATGGGCACCGCCCTCATGATGGAGGGCCTGCTGAGCGCCTGCTACCATGTCTGCCCCAACTACACCAACTTCCAGTTTGGTGAGTGGCTCCCCGCCTGGCCCCCGGGTGGGCGGCCTGAGGAGGGGCCCCTGCCCCCACCTGGCCTCGGCCCAGGCTCAGCCGTGGCTCTTCGGTGGCAGACACCTCCTTCATGTACATGATTGCCGGGCTCTGCATGCTGAAGCTGTACCAGAAGAGGCACCCGGACATCAACGCCAGCGCCTACAGCGCCTACGCCTGCCTGGCCGTCATCATCTTCTTCTCGGTCGTGGGGGTGGTGAGTGAGCACAGCCCCCCCACCCCCGGGGCGTGAATCCTTTGGGGGAGGGGGAGGGAGGAAGGTGCCGGGAGCCCCCAAGATTGCAGGGGAGCCCCAGCTTCCCCCGAGAGGAGGAGCCCCTAAAAGTGTTGAGCTGGGCAGGAATTACGTCTCCCCTGCGATCCCTTCTCTCTCTCTCTCTCTCTCTCTCTCACACACCCACACACCCACACACACCCACACAGACCCACGGGAGGGAGGCGCTGTGTTCCTTCCCACGGGAGGAGGAGCATTCGAGGGGAGAGACCCCCCTCCCCCCCTGCCACTGAAGGGCTCTCTGGCCCCCCAGGTCTTCGGCAAAGGCAACACGGCCTTCTGGATCGTTTTCTCGGTCATCCACATCCTCGCCACGCTGCTGCTCAGCACCCAGCTGTACTACATGGGCCGCTGGAAACTGGGTGAGCGGGTGCAGTCAGGGGGTCCCCACCTGTGAGCTCTGCCCTCGAGGGGGGCTGCCAATGGCAGCTGGGGTGCAAGGGCCCCCCCGCCCTCTCGGGGGGCCTTCAGCTCTCACTCTCCCCCCAGATTCTGGCACCTGGCGCCGGATCTTCCACGTGCTGTACACCGACTGCATCCGGCAGTGCAGCGGGCCCATGTACATGGTGAGAGGGGGGGGCGGCCCCTCCCTCTTCTGGGTGCTCCTGGTTAAAGAATCTCAATTCCTGGAGGCCTCACCAATCCCCCCCCCCCCCCCCCCCCCCCCCCC